CTCCTTCATCTCATCCCTCTTGTTCCCCATTTCTCCACCCTCCATCTCTCTTTCCATCTTCCTCCGTTTCCTTCTCCCGTCTCTCCATCTCCCCGATTCTTCCAGCAGGAATTTAATTTCATTGAAAAACCGACGTCGATGCGTCGGGCTCGGACGAAGGACCGAACACGTTGACGTCGCGGAGCGCTTCGGAACGCTCGCTGGTCCGGCCACGTGGCGCACGGCGCGGCTCGTACCTCCCCCCCTTTCCAACAGCGGAAAATATCGCCAAAAATCGCTCGGGCTCTCTCCTCCGCCGGAAATTAAAGATTCAACGAGCCGAGGGTAATTTCGGGGACGACGAACAAGAAGCCGAAGCTCGCGCTGCCTGCGCGACGGAAAACGCTCCGCGTCGAGGGAGGAAAAGGGAAAGGGAAACAGAGAGGGAAAGGCTCTAGAATTCCAGGGGAGGGGGATGAAAATGGTAATCGATGCGGGGACGAGTTACATTCGGCGCCGTTAAGTCGGAATCGAGGGAACCGGATCCTCGGGAAGAAAATGCTCGGCGACGCTTCGCGCGGGGATGAAAGAAGTTCTTCAAGGGGGCTGCTCTTCGGGGTAATGCCCTCCTGACCTTGAGAGGGATTTAATTATTCGTCTATACTCGAACGTCGACTGAATTAAAATCGCATTAGACACGGTTTTCGAGGGACGTTCCAGATCCTTTTTATTCCAGTTTATTCGAAGGGATGTGTGGGGTAGCGATATTTTGAGTATTTGTGAAGGTATTTTGGGGAGCCAGGTGGACGGAGAATTTTTGGATTTGTGGTGTTTGTTGAATGCAGTGAGCAACCTATTTGCATAATTTATTTTTGATATCTATATTCGAAATAGTAGATTAATTTGATTATATATGTCGTTTCATTATCAATCATGGAGGTTTAAATAGGAACTGAATAGTTCAAATGTCCTGAGCTATAGATGGAAGCTATTTTGAATGCCTCGATGCATCTGGTGTTTAGATCTCGACTATGTACGATTTTCTGATCAAAATGGATTTTGCCAATTTAGAAATACTAGAATAAATCTGATCGTCGTTGAAGTTAATGTCTCGTTGTATCGGTACTCGAGGAAAATAGAAAGATGAACAGACGCGTCGTCCCATTCAACGCTGCAGCCTCCCCGGGACGTTTTGAATGATCTCGAACACGAAGGGTCGCAAGAAAATATTGCACAGTTTTTCCGTTGAAAATGAGCTACCGGTTGCACCCTCCTCGAACGCCGCGACACAGTTCCCGGTATAATTAGAAGAATTTTTTGTTAATCCCCGCGAACAATGACTCGGTCGAACTTTTTTTTCCTCACGAAAAGCCTGCCTCTTAATAAACCGTGGGAAGACGCGCGTCACCGCGCCGGTAAACAAGTTTCGCCGAAGTAATAAACCGGCCGATGTTTTATAAGCGCGAAGAAACGGTCCGCGGCGGGACAATGGGAGCCCTGTTATTGTTAATTTAGCATAATTCCCCGCGAGGAGCGGGGCCGGGCTTGAACAGAACGATGCCCGCGAGAAAAATTAGCACTTGTTATCTGGAATGGCTGGCTCTCCGGGCAGGGAGCACAATGGGACCGGACAGAACAAAAGCCGGCGGAACCTCGAGCCACCGAACAATATTAGAACGTGATTTAATTTTTGATTACGAAGGACGTCCCGTATCCCCGGGTCATCGTTCCGCTGCGAGGCTTCCGCCGCTTAATTAAGGCGTTACAATCATGCGGGGAATGTTTTACACGGGCCACGCGAATCGGGCCGAATGAAAAATTCGAGTGAATGCCCGAGTTTTTCAAGTTATCTCGTCAGCCCCGCGCGTATTATCTTGGCCGGAACGTTTCCGACTATATCATCCCGGGGATTTTTGCGGATATATCCCGCCGCCCGTGTAAATTGCAATTTTCACGAATGAGGTGTTAAGTGTTAATTGCCTCTTCGGACGAACGGGAACCTTGTTGGAATTACAAATTTCTGGATTACCGATTATCGAATAAACTTTCATGACTCGAAGGAACCGGAGTTGAAAACGAATTACAGCTTATTAAGGATCCCATCCGTCACCAGTTAAAACGAACTTGTTCGTTAACACAATAATAGGAATCGGATCTTCTTCCCCGGTGAACATTTCCATCATTCGTTGACACGATGGAACAAACAAATCAATTCTTCTGGGACGGTGAGCATTGCTATCGTTCATTACCACAGTAATAGAAATCAGCTCTTCTCGCATAGTAATTTAACATCTTTGCAATAACCAATACAATGAAATGCAACTAACAAATTAACTCTTCTCCCGCAATAAACATAGCCATCATTCATCAACCCTTTGCGGTTCGAAGTGTTCTTGGTTCCTCACTTTCACGTCGACGTTAGTTCATTCAATTACAGCTTAATATGACGCTCTGTTTATTTATTCAAGATTATTTGGGAGTCATTGAAATGTTACCTTTAAATGGTACAATTGTGATACTAGAAATAAATATAGAAAAAATTGTTAAAACAGGTAGACGTTGCAATAAAATAGAATGTCGAGTCTGACTCGACATAGGACTGCTAAGGGTTAAGACAACAATAAGAATCATCCCTTCTCCCACAGTAGTTCAACATCCTCACAATAACCACCATGAAATACAACTAACAAATTAACTCATCGCCCACAATAAACATAGCCATCACTAATTAAAACAACAATACGAGTAAACCGTTCTCCCACAGTAAACATTTCCATCCTTCATTAGCACCGTCCCAAGATTGTCCCCCGTAACTCCGCCATATTTCCCGCAACATAATTACCCGTACTCTCCGAAATTCCTACTAACGGTCCCTGGGCGTGTGTTCGTTGTTCCAGGAGGAGTGCGCCTCGATGCTGCAGGACCTCAGCGACAAGATCAACAACAAGCACCACGAGGTCCACACGCATCCCCTGCTCTCGATCTTCAAGATGGCCGAGGTCGAGGTCAAGCTGCCGTACAGCAACGAGGTCGCCGGCCCGACGGGGCCGTCGGGCTCGCTCCTCGCCGGCCTGCTCCTGCTCGTCAGCCTGGTTCGATCTACGTGGCTGGTCGCCTCGTGACACGGGCCGCTCGCCGCCGTCTACTCCCATTGAACAGCGAGCGCGTTCTCGAAGAGGAAGCGGAAACGCGTCGCCGCGAGCCAGTAGAACGTCGGGGTAACGACGAACAAAGGTCGATTTCTATCGTCCAATCAGCCGCGCGAAAACGGTCGCGGTGCGGCTCCTTTCAGACGAAAATATTTAGCGTTTGCATTGTCCGTTCGGACACGTGTATCCGGTCGATGTGTGAAGTACTGCGGATCGTAACAGTGCGACGATGATCGTGCGATGATTGTTCGTTTCATGTTAATGCTTCATTTTATTTAACTTGATTCTTCTTGGATTTATCGTCGTAAATCTCCTTAGTGAAACTTCTACTTCTAGTTCAAATTTCCTTAATCTAATCTGTTCGATTCAATTATTGTTACCTTAATTTTTCCTGGGTCCTAGATATTTTAGATAAATATTCCGTTCTCGATATCTCGAGTTGGACACGAGGAAACTCTCCATTCCTATTAACGAAACAGTTGTTCAAAATATTATAAATATTTAATTCAATAGTATTGCAATCTGTGTTGCAAGGAATCTAATCTGTTCAATCAAATTATTGTTACCTTAATTTTCCTGGGATCCTAGACTTTTTAGATAAACATTCTGTTCTCGATATCTCGAGTTGGACACGAGGAAACTCTCCATTCCCATTAACGAAACAGTTCAAGATATTATAAATATTTAATTCAATAGTATTGCAATCCGTCGCAAAGGACTAAGTTTCAGTATTACTGGGAACCTAAGAAATATCAGCTCATTCCCGATAATCTGCGCCGTTACGATCCTCGGCACGCCATATACAGATATTTGTATCTTACTCTCTATAAGAATGTTTCGTCTGAACGGCGCCATGCCGTGTCTGATTGGATAATATAAAACGACCTGAACGCGGGGGACAGGCTATATATATACATATATATTGGTTCTTGGCGAAAGGGCAACAGAGAGAGAGAGAGAGAGAGAGAGAGAGAGTGAGTAAGAGAGAGAAGGGGACGGCCTCGGGCGTGCATCAACGAAACAGAGTCGAGCTGGCGCACCTAATTAACGGGGCTCTAATCTTCGTGCCTCGTGGATCAGATACGTAGAGAATTCTTGGCTCGTTAACCGCGATCGAGGATCGAATATCTTCCACGTGAATTTACTTGGAGCGCTTTCACGCGTGTTCGACTTCAGTTCAGTTTCTTTGTGCCGGGTTTAGCGTTTCGTTAACCCTCCTGTTGATCGAGCTGGATTTCCTACCCTTTCGACGAATATTTGAGCTTGATTACAGTTCTAGCTGGTTCCAGGGACGGTATAAACAACGCGTAATCTCTCGGAGGAATGTTCTGTGCAATCAGTCCTTGGAATTTCGTGTTGTTCAGATACGCTGGCAGTGATTGCTCTTTAAATTCGACTGCTTCGTGTCTTTATTCATAATTCGCTACTCGTATCGATCCCGTGCAACTCGAATCGATGATTTAGGACTCGACCATCGAATCTACCTTCTGAATCTGCTAACCCCAGTGACTTAACCCTTTGCACTCGATTTGATTTGACCCATGGTAATGATAAAATTTAGAATTCAATACTAAATTTTTATATAATGCATCAACACATGGAACATCGAAATAAAATAGTTCTGTTACTTAATTCATGCAAGATATTTCTTTGATAGTCGTGAAACGTATAATTGATATTTCATCAGGAAACAATGAATGTCGAGAAAAATATTCTCGAGTGCAAAGAGTTAAATCTTCACTTCAGTTCATAATCTACCAATTTTATCTTCTCATGCATTCATACATCAATCTCCACATCTATTGACTCTTTGCACTGAGAGCAACATCTAGCATGACCTCTCTCCGAGTCATTTCTACCATGTACTAGCTACTCGAGAACACGATTCATTAACCAGTTAAGTGTGGAGTTTAGTTTGAAAAATATCTCATTCTGCGTGCAATAAAATCAAATAATGAATGTTAACGAATACTCGTTAAATGCAAGCCAAATGCAATTAAATCATATCCTACCGAAAAACCGAAGCTAAACGAAGAATTACATGTGTCTCAAAAAATGAATAATCCATCGTTGAAAAAGTTAGCACCGTTAAGAGTTTTAACATGACGTGTATACTCGTCAAACACAGTTAACTGGTTAATACAATTCCAATACAACAAGTACAATACGAAAAACCATGTATAGACAACAAAACCGTCTCTACACACGTCTAGATTTTCTAGCGACAACGTAGCAAAGGGTTAAATCAATACCACTCCTCGAACATTAGTCACTCCACTACCAATCTGCTAATGTCCGAACCGACCGAAATCAAAATTTCCTCGATCCTTCCTCGCACCTCATGAACTCCCATTCCTCAATCACTCCCAACAATCTCCAACCTACCGAATCAAAGCATTCGCACAAACGCACATCTTCCTCCTCTTGACACACACACATGCACACTCGTACACACAACCGTATAAATTCCTGGGAAACACCTCCGAGCAAAGCCCGAAAGAAAGTCGGTCGGTTAACAGGCAACAAACCCAGCGCTCCCGGCAAGCATTCGTTCCGAACTCGTTGAACGGAGTTCCCATTTCCTTGCACCCGTAACTTCCGCCGACTAGGAGTTTCCGGGAACAGCGGTTGCGCGTCCCCGCGAATTTTCGCCGCTCGTTCCCGCAGCTCGTTACACGGGAACGCGCGAAGACGCGCGCGGCGGCGGCGGAACGAGCCGATACGCGGGCACGAAACATTTACGAGTGCCATTCGATCCGAACGGAACGAGCCTTAGGTACCCGAATCGATTGTTATGCCGACGGCTGGATATCGGTAGGAATATCGGCGAGCGTCGCGCTCGATCCGGGGATTTTTATCGTCGCCGCGCGGCGCGGCGCAATAATAAGGGGATCCCATATGCGGGGAACGGCGCGGATCCAAAACACGCGATCTCCTCCGCGCCGCTGCTGGATCAGCGGCGATATTGCCAGCCGGTCGGGAACGGCGACGGCCATTAGAATCGGCGCGCGACGCGGCGGCCCCGTTTCACCGGGAAACATATTGGAAATAGTTCCGCCGATCGCGCCGGAACTTTTGCATTTTTTCGATTCGCCCGTGCGCTGGAAGGTAGATTCGCCGGTCGAGTCCTGGTTCGAGACGTTTGAAATTGATTCGGATGCTTCTCGATGAATTGTTTTCGGACGCTTTGAGTTCTGGCGTTTGGAAGGATTCTTGAGCGGGCTCGGTGGGAACTGGATGATTTCGGTTGAGTTGGTAACTGGCGTCGGTGTCTAGTTTCGCTGATGGTTTGGAAGTTTTATTGGAAGTCGCAGAATTTCGAGTTTTGTAAGATATGAATCAGTTATTGTGGTTGTTGTATTTGTCATTTAACCAGTTAACTGTGTTTGAGTATACGTCATTGTAAAGCTTAACATGATGCTGATTCTTTCATGAATTCTTTAGTTTTTCACGTAAACATGTAATTATTCTGCTGAGTTTCCGAAATCGTTGCCAAGTGGTTAACACTAGAACTACTGTAACAGTCAAAATGACTAGTTTCGATTTGTTTGTTTCGCAATTATTGATATCTTAAAAGCATTCAATGTTTGAAATGATCTTGAAAATAAATAGTTTCATTTGAATGTCAGAAGTAACCGAAAACAATCTATCGCTTGGTAGTTCTAGTCTTAACCAGCTAACTGTGTCTGATGAGTATACACGTGATCGTAAAGCTTGACATGATACTAATTCTAGCGATGAATTTTCTTTCGCTTTGATTTTTCGTTAAAATATACTCTACGCATTCGTCCTGTTCGACGAGTACAAGCTCCATTTTTTTATCGCGCGCAGAAAGAGATTTTTCCAACTAAGTTCCACAGTTAACTGGTTAAAGGTAGTGTCTCTTATAACAAAATTCATTGGCATAGTTTTTCATGAGTTATCGAAGAGTCGAGGCGAAAGTATCCAGCTGTCAGCTTAATACCCGTGCAACGATCGAAGTATTTACTTTCTCGGAAATAAACTCTTCGGCCGGAGGATGGGATTCAGTGGAATATCCCGACCATAGTCGGGCAAACTTCATGGAAGCTGAATCCCCCGTGCATCCCACGAACGCGTGCAGTTTATTGCCACGCAGGTCCATTAACCCCGCGTCCGTCGAACTCGATTCGAGACGCCGATAGCTCCCGTCCTCCACTGTATTTAATTTCTTTTCCTCCCTCGATGCTCCAAGATCGAAACGCCTCGCGTCAGGATCCACCGGTCCTTCTCGATCGCGAAAGTGATTACAGAGGGAGAGGAGAACGGTCCTCGATCGCGGCTGAACGGCGCAGCGCGTGTAAAAAGATGAAGCACCGTAGAGTCTGTAAATGACAACCGCTAATTTATGGTATACCTAATAGGCTAGCAAAAGCGAACGCTCCTCCTGTATCGGACCATTAGGTGTTTGTTAAAGTTCAGAGCTAAATTTAAAGAGCGTTTCAGGCGTCGCGGGAGGTCTCGAGTGTATAGATAAACTGTAGATTGTTAATAGCGTTGTAACAAATGAAAACGAAGAAGAAGAAGAAGAGGAAGAAGAGGAAGAAGAAGAAAATGCAATATCCGAAGAAACGATACGGTAACGGGTCTCTTATATGGTTCCGTCGATCGACACGAATTCTATCAGCAGAAACGGAGATCTTGCCAAAACGGCAAGCAACGAAAGGAAACTACGGTTATTTAGTAAAAAATGTCTGACGTTCCCGTGTGCGAGGTTGTGCAACCGGTTAGCTGTCGCTCTCTTGTGCGCAGCTAAGATAAACGAAGCGCTGACGAGTATACTCGTGTCGCAAGAAACATTTCTCTATGACAAGTATACTCGAGAGATCGTCGTATCGCGACGAGTTTGCTCGTCGAAACTAAAAAATTGCCACTTCTCCATGACGAGTATACTCGTGACGCAAGAAAATTCCCATTCTCTCGTAGCGTGGGTATTTGTTCTAATAGAAAAAGGAATTATGTCTATGACGAGTATACTCGTATCGCAAGAAACATTTCTCTATGACAAGTATACTTTCGAGAAATCGTATCGTGACGAGTATGCTCGTCGAAACTAAAAAATTGACACCTCTCCATGGCGAGTATACTCGTGACGCAAGAAAAATTCCCATTCTCTCGTGACTTGGGTATTTGTTCTAATAGAAGAAAGAATTAGGATGTCCCTACGACGAGTATACTCGTCGCACGCAGCTGGCTGGTTAAATAAATAGCGGAATGACTGAAGTGGCGAACGGAAACGGGACGTTTGTCGATCGAGCGATTACCGGCTCGCGTTAGAGTGTCACGCGTACGGCGGGACAGGGGCGGATCCGGCCCGGTTTAATTATGTTTCACCCCGTGACACGATAAAGTGTGCCGGTAATGTCGTGTCGGTCGTGTAATAATTCCGCGACGGCGCGTGGCGCCGCGCCGTTTCGCCGGATGGCACCGCGAGCAACGCCGGGCACGAGATACACCCGCTTTAAAACGGTCGATTTGTCACCGGGAAAGGAGAAAGAAACCGGAAAACCCGGGGAAACTTCTAAACGCCACTCTCTCTCCCCGCCGCGCGTGACGTTTACAAACGACGCCGAAACACACGACCTCAAATTATTCACCGGTAACACCTCGTTCCCCCGTCGGCTCGATTATAATCTCGACGCCGAGCGGCGGACGCGCGGCGAATAGTAATTTTCCGAATTCCGATTCCGCGCGGCCCGCCGGAAGCGCGCGCCTCCCGGAAAATTCGCCGCCCCGCGGAATCCCGGTAAACAATCGGCGCTGTCTTACCTCGTCGCGTTGTTCGATAGCTCGTTACAATTTACAAACTATTCCAGACGCAAGGATTTCATTGGATTTCTAAATTAATCCTTAAATTTCTGCATTGAAGTATCTACTTCGGCACTCGAGCAGCTGATTGAGAGCACCGTGCAGATCAGAAAGTGCCCCAGTTTTGGAATTGCAGACACTGAAAATACAGTGCAATTAGTATAACTCGTTTAGAATCTTGGAATTCTGAATCATGGAAATCTTCGAAATTCGAAGCTCTTACTTTCTCTATACAAGCATATGAATTTATTTCCCACGGAAGCATTTTCGTTCGATGATTACCAAGTATATCATAGTTCTTTGTTAACTCAATCGAACAGTACGTCTATAAATTTCCTTGATACACTGGAATCAACGAAATCTCTGTCTGATCTCAAAGACACAATTCGTCGCGAGGTTTGAAACGCTTCGAGCGGTCGATTGAGACAAAAAAGCGGCGCCGGGAGAGAGGATCCTTTAGAATTTCCGGCGGCGTCGAGGCGAGTGCAGGTCGCGGGGATCGCAGCTGCGAGAAAGAGGTGTTAAACGGGTAGGGTGTCTGACATATTCCGCGGGCGAGCGTTACAAGCGCGGCGGATAACGAGAAACGGAACGGAACGCGGGAAACCGGGTCCGACGAGCCGTTTGCGGGACGGGGGACGGCGTGAATCGTCGGCAATCCGATTAGGAGGGTTTCGTCAGTTTAGAGGGATTAATTGTGCGCGCGTCCTCGTGTAAAAAGAAACGAAGGAGCAGGGAGAGGGAACGGGGAACGTTATCAGACGGCTCTGGCTCGCGCTCGTCCCGTAACCGAGCGCACAT